TCCTCTTTTGTTTTAGTCAAGTCCTCAGGTTTGTCCTCAGTTAGTCCCGGTCTAGCTATGGTCTAGTTCCTGGTCTAGTTGTTGTTCAAAATCTGGTTGCTATTAGGCAGGTGGTTGTATTGCATAAGGTGGACAACTGCAAACAGTTTAAAATGAACTAGTTCTGCTTTCATGACAGTGAAAATCAGATTCAGCACCTTTAAGTGCAAGATAACGCAAACTAAAGTATAGCACAATGTTTAAAACAGTAAAGAAAAAGTTGTGCTCCTGACCAGACGAAGCTGCTCTGGGGGTGGTGGCTCTGGATGATTGGGTTCTCCATGAACTGAAAAGCGTTGGGGATGGTTTTAACGGTGTTTTTTCCGTACTTCAGAGAGACAGGGAGCAGGTCCGAGGGCACTTTGTCTGCACGGTACTCCCCGGTCCTGCAGGTGATCTCCCTCCCAAAGCCCTCCCTGTGACAGAGAGGGCAGAGGTCAAAGGTTAAGGGGGAGGAGGTTGCACCAGAATGGGACCAAACATGACAGATCTCAGACAGTTGGTTAAATAATGGGGTGGGATGTCACCATCAAACAGTTTCAACACAGCAAAAAGTGGAATTATCAACAATACATTAATTAGAGGCCTGCCATGATAACTCATTTTGAAACACAATAGATCGCTACAGAGAAATATAACATTAGCAATAAAAATAAAGCAGGATAATCCCACCAAACCATTTTAAATAGACAGTATAATTAAACAGCATGAGCAGCAAAAAAAAATAACAGAATGAAAAAAATAATCAGCCATAGAAGTGACCTATTTAACCCTCTACAACAGGGGTGTCAAACTCATTTTGGTCTGGGGGCTGTATCCAACCTACTTTTAAACCTGTTAAAAATAGGTTGTTTTACTGTTTTACTAGTAGTTTTACTGTTATAAGGGGCCGTTCAAATATTTGTAAAGAGAAACGCAAATCCATCCATTTTCGTCCACTTATCCGGGGCCGGGTCGCGGGGGCAGCAGCCTAAGCAGGGACTCCCAGACTTCCTTCACCCCAAACACGTCCTCCAGCTCCTCCGGGGGAACCCCGAGGTGTTCCCAAGGCCAGCCAAGAGACCAAGAGTCCCTCCAGCGTGTCCTGGGTCTTCCCCGGGCCTCCTCCTGGTGGCACATGCCCAGAACACCTCCCGAGGGAGGCGCCCAGGAGGCATCCGGAACAGATTCCCGAGCCACCTCAACTGGCTCCTCTCGACGTGGAGGAGCAGCGGCTCTACTCCGAGCTCCTCCCGTGTGACTGAGCTCCTCACCCTATCTCTAAGGGAGCGTTCAGCCACCCTGCGGAGGAAACTCATTTTGAGCGCTTGTATCCGCGATCTCGTTCTTTCGGTCACTACCCAGAGCTCATGACCATAGGTGAGAGTAGGAACGAAGACAGACCGGTAAATCGACCCTCTTCACCACAATGGTCCGATACAGCGACCGCATCACTGCCGAAGCTGCACCGATCCGCCTGTCAATCTCACGTTCTGTCCTTCCCTCACTCGTGAAAAAGACCCCGAGATACTTGAACTCCTCCACTTGAGGCAGGGACTCTCCACCCACCCGGAGAGGGCAGGCCACCTTTTTCCGGTCGAGAACCATGGCCTCGGACTTAGAAGAGCTGATCTTCATCCCAGCCACTTCACACTCGGCTGCAAACCGCCCCAGTGCACATTGCAGGTCCTGGTTCGATGAAGCCAACAGGACAACATCGTCTGCAAACAGCAGAGATGAAATCCTGTGGTCCCCAAACCGGACCCCCTCCGGCCCCTGACTGCGCCTAGAAATTCTGTCCATAAACACAATGAAGAGAACCGGTGACAAAGGGAACAGGTCTGACTTACTGCCGGCAATGCGAACACAGCTCCTGCTCCGGTCATACAGGGACCGGACAGCCCTTAGTAAAGGGCCCCGGACCCCATACTCCCAGAGCACCCCCCACAGGAAACGAGGGACACGGTCGAATGCCTTCTCCAGATCCACAAAGCACATGTGGACTGGTTGGGCAAACTCCCATGAACCCTCGAGCACCCTATGGAGAGTGTAGAGCTGGTCCAGTGTTCCACGACCAGGACGAAAACCACACTGCTCCTCCTGGATCCGAGGTACGACTATCGGCCGGATTCTCCTCTCCAGTACCCTGGCATAGACCTTACCGGGAAGGCTGAGGAGTGTGATCCCCCTATAGTTGGAACACACCCTCCGGTCCCCCTTCTTATACAGAGGGACCACCACCCCGGTTTGCCAGTCCAAGGGTACTGTCCCCGAACGCCACGCAATGTTGAAGAGGCGTGTCAGCCAAGACAGCCCTGGACAACGTCCCCAGTCGAGGTCAACAGCTCTCCCCCCGCACTGTAAACAGTGTTGGTGAAGAACTGCTTCCCCCTCCTGAGGCGCCGGACGGTTTGCCAGAATCTCTTTGAGGCCGTCCGATAGTCCTTCTCCATGGCCTCCCCGAACTCCTCCCAGCTCCGAGTTTTTGCCTCCGCGACCACACGGGCTGCAGCACGCTTGGCCCGCCGGTACTCGTCAGCTGCTTCAGGAGTCCCCCGAGCCAGCAAGGCCCGATAGGACTTCTTCTTCAGCTTGACAGCATCCCTTACTTCCGGTGTCCACCACCGGGTTCGGGGATTGCCGCCGTGACAGGCACCACACACCTTACGCCCACAGCTCCGGGCAGCCACATCGACAATAGAGGCCGAGAATGAAGCCCACTCGGACTCCATATCTCCAGCCTCCCCCGGAATCTGGGAGAAGTCCTCCCGGAGGTGCGAGTTGAAAGTCCCTCTGACAGAGGGCTCCGCCAGACGTTCCCAACAGACCCTCACGACACGCTTGGGCCTGCCAGGTCTTTCTGGCTTCCTCCTCCGCCAGCAAACCCAACTCACAACCAGGTCGTGATCAGTTGACAGCTCAGCCCCTCTCTTCACCCGAGTGTCCAAGACACGTGGCCGGAGGTCAGATGACAGGACTACAAAGTCGATCATCGACCTCCGGCCTAGGGTGTCCTGGTGCCACGTGCACTTATGGACACCCTTGTGCTCAAACATGGTGTTCGTTATGGACAAACTATGACTAGCACAGAAGTCCAATAACAAAACACCGCTCGGGTTCAGATCAGGGAGGCCGTTCCTCCCAATCACCCCTCTCCAAATGTCACTGTCGTTGCCCACGTGGGCGTTGAAGTCCCCCAGGAGAACAACGGAGTCCCCGGTCGGTGCACTGTCTAGTACCCCTCCCAAGGACTCCAAGAAGGCCAGGTACTCAGTACTGCTGTTCGGCCCATAGGCCGACACCACAATGAGAGACCTGTCCCCGACCCGAAGGTGCAGGGACGCGACCCTCTCGTTCACCGGAGTGAACTCCAACACACAGCGGCTGAGCTGTGGGGCAATGAGCAGGCCCACACCAGCCCGCCGCCGCTCTCCGCGGCCAACGCCAGAGAAATGGAGAGTCCAGCCCCTCTCAAGGAGTTGGGTTCCAGAGCCCAAAACTGTGCGTGGAGGTGAGGCCGACTATATCTAGTCGGTAACGCTCTACCTCCCGCACAAGCTCAGGCTCCTTCCCCCCCAGCGAGGTGACATTCCATGTCCCCAGAGCTAGTCTCCATGTCCGGAGATCCGGTCGTCGAGGCCCCCGCCGTCGACTGCTGCCCAGATCTCTCTGCACCAGCCCCATATAGATCCTCCCGTGGGTGGTGGGTCCACGTGAGGACAGCCCCACGTCGCTCCTTCGGGCTAAGCCCGGCCGGGCCCCGTGGGGGAAGGCCCGGCCACCAGGCGCTCACTGACGAGCACCCACCCCAGGCCTGGCTCCAGGGTGAGGCCCCGGTGACACCAATCCGGGCAACGTTGCTGGCCTCTGAGTGGACATCATCATATAGGGCTTCTGAAACGCAAATCTATTACAGAAATCTTTTTTAATTGATGAGCTCTTTCTTTTACAGAATATTATAATATTATGAACAACCTGAAACTTTAAGAAAAATGCAATTTCAACATTATGTTTTAACTTTAACTTGTATGCAAAAAGGAATAAGTCAATTTTTCTTGGAAAATCCTGCACTCGGCTCCACTTTTCTCATTTTGGACATGTTTCTGATGAGGGTGTCACGGTCAACAGTCAAAACGATCGTCCTTTAAGAGCGTTTGGAAAGAGACAAGTCTTCATTTGTGCTGCTCTGGTGGGAGGGGCCACGTACAGAGATGCTGGAGACGCTGCTATGCTCAGCACCACAGAAAATTACCAAGATTTTAATAGAAAATATAACAAAAATATTTTAGTAGAAAATCAGCCAAGGGACAGATTAAAGGTCTTGGAGGGCCTGATCCGGCCCCCGGGCCGTATGTTTGACACCCCTGCTCTACATATACTATACATATACTCTAATTTTATATATATATATATATATATATATATATATATATTTTTTTTTATGTATTTATGTATATATAATTCATATATTAATATCTGCTTTGCAGTTCCTTTGACTTGATGAAGTCATCACAAAGACATACATGTGGATTTTCTTCACTTTACCTGCACTGTGCTTCTTACACTTTATTTTTACAGGTTTATTTTTAGAAATGGGAATTTCAGCCTCCGCTAGTGAATACACAAATTTGGACTTCAAAACTAAAAATCTCACTCCACTGGAAAAACAAGCTTTTAAAATAAAATGGGTGTGGAAAATAGTCAGTCTTCTCTTAAAAGAAGTAAAGAAGTAGACCTAAAAACTAAACTAGTACAAATGACTTCTCTCTACTCTTATTTTAGTGGCATCTAGTATCTACCCTTATCTTTTGCAGGTAATACTTACAAGGAACTTGTGTAATTTTAATGAATATTTACTTCTGAGTAGTTTTCAGATACCATATATTTACTTCTACTCGAGTACATATTTCACAGTAGCAGTACTCTCTAGACATGTTGGTTCGTCTTCCCTCTGTGAGTAGAAGTCTATAGTTGTTCTGTACATTGGGCATTATTTGTCTTTCCATTGGTGTTAACTTTAAATTATAATTCAGCTGTTACGCTGAGACAGTTACTCTTACAAGTACTTTTTCCCCACAAATACTTCTTTACTCTTAAAGGCGTATTTGTGTAACTTTTCTGGTGGAGGGTCCATCACCAGCTTGTTTCCATGGATATGTCATTGCTCTTCCTCTACAGTATGCCATTAAACAGTTCTACCTTTTACATTTATTCAATTACAGGTGGTTTTATAGCTCAAAAATACAGACAAAAACAGACATTCTGACTGTGAGTGGGGTCGCCTCTCCACAGATCTGACCTGTAACTTGGTCTGGTTTGGTCTCCATGAGGATAGAAAGGTTTAATTCCATACTGCGAAACATTCCAGACAAAGCAAAAACATCTCCATGGAGAAAAGCATTTGATGGATCCTCCACAAGAAAAGTTACACAATAGAGCTTTAACTTGAATAATTCCCTGGACCACTACTTTGTACTTCTCCTTCCATCATATTATTTTGAAGTATTCTTACTTACTCCTACCTTTCATTTTGACAGTGCTTTTTCAGTTTGGTTCAAAATGTCCCTATCCTGTGAGCACTCAGGCTGAGGGAGGAAACCATAATGGTGTCACCTGATTTAAGGCCAGTTGCATTTGAAGTGTTATGGAGAAACTTCAAAGTGTGGCTGTGCCCAAATTAGCATAGAAAAGCAGGACTGAATAACAAGAGCTATTATCATGTGCAGTGACTAAAACAGACGCTCCCCACACTGAATGACAATAGGCATACATAAGCATATAAGGAATACACAGCATTAGTTTAAATGACTCCTATACACAATCTTGTTTGAGAACTTTGAACTAGTTGACTTAAGGACATGCTCACAATTGTAATTTAAATAATAATTTGGAAATACAATATGAGTAATATAAAGCTTATATTAAAGGTGAATTGTGAAACTTTTCTGTAGAGGGTCCGCTACCTGCAATCCCCAAACACTGTTGTTTTACCTGGAATGTTCCACACTATGGCATTTATCTTGTTTATCAGAACTGCAGGTGTTTAAGGCACAAAACTAATTTGAAAAATATGTATTTTTACTGTGAGCAGGGTAGCCTTTCCACAAATCTGACCTGTAACTTGGCCTAATAATAGATCATGTTTGTCTCCATGTAGATAGACAAGATACATGCTACTGTAATGAACTGGCAAAGCAATAACATCTCCAAGTACAAGTTTGTATTTTTTTTTAGCTCCTAGTCTTTTTGTCATGGGATATTTCAGATTTTTCTTTTACTTTTTAGAAGCAAGGATCTATTTTTATTAGTTATAAAGCAATTTATTCCACTTTTACTCCACTGACAAGTTATTTTAATATACTTTTTCATCCTCATCCTATGTCCAATTACTTTGAATCACTGAAAAAAAAGCCACTTCATTTTAAGAAGACTGACTCTTTCTCCAAATTAACGTGCATGTTTCTGTATTTTAAGTCCACATTACTTCCATAACTACCAGTGGTTTTCAGATTCTAGAATGTATCATACTCTCAGATGGTGTCAGAGATAGACTTTGAAACTGATTGCATTATACTTTGCCATGAAATGTCCAAAAGGTAAATTCACAAATGTTGAACCTGATCATTTCTATTAGTGTCTAGACCCAAGACTCTGCTGATTTCCAACACAAATCTGCTGCTCCATCTCTCTTAAATATGACTGGCCTATAGAATGTTGTGATGTCATCTGAAACACAGAAATACTACAACTAATAATTTTAAAAATACAACTTGGGTGAAACTCCAAATATTTCGGGATTCAAGTAAACTGAATAAGAGAAATCAAAAATCAAGATAAAAATTCTGATCTCATCTCATTTAGAATTTTCCAGTAATTGTAGAAAGTATTAAATATTGTACCCATTATAATTTTAAACTAAAACAGGAGTGGTCCATAAAAAGACGGGTATAAACTCTTGTCTTACACGAAGCAGTCCACTCCTCCGATCTGGACCTGCACGTCACTTGCACTGCCAGTTTTCAGGTTCGTCCCAAAGATGGTGATGAGCGTGCCCCCCGCTTTGAGCCCCTGACTGGGCTTCACTGACTCGGGGATGGGGTCCTGGAGCAGAGAAAGGAGAGGTAAACAAGTTTGTTGAGGCTGTTTTTTTATTTAAGCCAGTATTTTATTTTAAGAACCTTTTTAATATTCTTAATTCATTTGCATTTACATTTGCTGGTAAAAGACTAAAGAGAACATTGTGTTGTTAACTTGTCAGTCTGGTCATATTTACTGCAAAAAGATTGAGTTGAGTTCTCTTTCTTTTAATCTAACTTGATCTCTTGTCTCTCTCTCTCTATCTCCCTCTCTCCATCTCTGTCTCCCTATCTCGCTCTCTCTCTCTCTCCCCTGTCTCTGTCTCCCTCCTCCTCTCTTTCTGCCCCCTCCCTCGTTCCACATCTGCCATCATGTGCTGAGTAAACAGTTTGTGGAGCACTCCCCGGTGGAGCCTTTAAACCTCCTCTGATATGAAAAGCCAGTTAAATAGCTTTGGCTGTGGCTGTTACTGTATTAGACCCAGACCCCGAACCACAGCGTCTGGTTAAACAGAGGCTTATCAGGCGCTCCATTAGGCCTGGAATACGGACAAGTCTATTTAGCCTCATATTAGCACAGTGCGTGTGTACAGTTCTTGTAAATTGCATGTCCTTGCTATGTTCAGATAAGGGCTTCTACGCCGCCAAATGGAAAAACTTAATGAATTGATAAAACAGGCAAATAGATTGAAAGCTTGTGGGTCTGGTTATATCAGGGGCAGGTCACACATTCTATAAAATATAACACAATACAACACAAATACAATAAATGCAATAGGAAAGGGCAACAGTGCTATAGTGGGTTAAGTGTGTGCCCAACAGCCAGGAGCCTCTGCCTGGAGTAGACTTTGACTCTACACATTTTATTTGCAAATGGATATGGAGGACCAAAAATGATGTAATTTGAAATAAATAAATCCAAGAATAAAATAAGATTATTTTTACATTTTTATATTTATTCACGAGCCTGAGGGCCCTTCAGTTAGACCCAAGATGGCGGCTCAACCATCACCGTCCCACAATAAGGACACAAAAACAGCAAAGAAGACAAAAGTTGTGCCCAAAGTCAAAGAACCAGTGATGTGCAGATGGGACAGGATAACTTTAAACCTGCCCAACATTTGAGGAATGTTGAGGAACTGGAGAAGCACATTTCAGAGACACACCTTTTCAAAGGATTTTCAAAGCTTCTTAGCAGTTTCAAAAAGAGTGATGGTGATACTAATGCTGTTTCAGATAAATATTTGAACCAACTTCACCAACCGGAGAAGGAGGAGAGTCCAGAAGATCATATTTGGTCCTCCATAAATGGAAGCATTGCAGTTCTGGTTGAGTACTGAACGAGTTATATTGGCCTTTGAATTCTATTAAAAATAAACAGAACTGTCCTTTAACTGTTATTAAGCAAGACACTTCACCCTGCCAAAATATGTTTGTGACCGATTGGGTGCCATGATTCCATTTTACCAAGAAGCAGCAAAGAATCAGTAATGTCGTTTTGAACAGGAAGTCAGTAGAACTGCTTTATAAAGTCGTTTCAAACTAATATTGCAGTTAATGATCAAAATGTAAAATCATCCTCCATGTCCGTTATAATTCAAGACAAAAAACTCAATTAAAACATATGTCTGTAATACACATCAGTATAACATGTCTTACCTGATAAGTGAACACCATGGAGGACTTGCCCCTCTTTCCTCCCTTCACCTCCACCTCCACCGGCCCCCAGATCGGCCTCAGGGGCCCGATCTCACACACCACACTGTAAACACACAGACACAGGTTTACACAGGGAAGGAAAACTAATGACATGTTTTTAGGGTAATTGTATAATTTAAAGTAGATTTTCAAAACATGAACTTGTACTTCATTTAGAATAATCCATGTTGTATTGCAGAGTATATTTTAGCCATGTACTTTTACTTGAGTACAAAAGTCTTAATTTCAGAAGCCATCAACCTAGTATTGTTCTAGTCCTGGATTAGTCCCAGTTTTCATGGAGTAAAAGCAAGTAAAAAAAAAAAAAAAATAATAATAACAACAACAACAATAATAAATATAGCCGCAAGCGGCGATGATCGGCCCTCGCTCGAGCCTACGCCGCGCCCACACCACGCCGCACCTCGACCACGCTGAGCCCTGCACATGCCGTGCCCCACAAATGCACCTTACCCCTTGATCTAACTCCTAAATTAACCCTAACCCCTAAACCCACCTGAACTCCTAACTGTATCCCTAACCCTAGGCCTAAAATTAACCCAAACCCAAAACCGAACCCTAGCCCTAACCCAAATTCCAAACCCTAGCCTTACCCCGAACCTAACCCCAACCCCTAATCTTAACCGAACCCTACCCCTTTTTCCTCCATTTCTGTATGTGTTGAGATTTTTTTTAAATCCAAGATGGCGGACTTCCGGTTTGACAGGGGGGCGTGGTCACAATATACTTTTTGTTCCTATTCCCATGACGCATCTGTCTACCAAATTTGGTTTGAGTGCGTCAAAGTTTTTGTTAGGACGTCCCATTGGCAAGGACTGATTTTTGATCTGTTCCCATGGCAACACGATGGGAGATGAAGTGTGGGCGTCATTGACTTTTTTCATCAAGACCATGTCACAAATGTGTGTACCACATTTTGTATTTCTACGTAAAAGTAAAATGTTATTGTTTCATACAATCTCCCTAGGGGGTGCTATTGCATTTATTTTAGAGTTTATTAACCCTTCCAGACCGACGGTATCGTATATGATACCGGCGGACATGTTTTACATAACCGCGCATAACTTTTTAACCATAAAAGATAGAGACTTTTTTTTTTTTTTTAGATAAGACCCGTGGCTTTACGAGCATCTTTCCGGCATCATCCTACGTCACACGCACGCTGCGTGGTGACGTAGCGAAAACAGGTGTCCAATAGGAACTTCGCTCTTCGGCGCATGACGCGCTCCATCCATTTTCATTGGCCCAAACTTTGCCAAAGATTGTTGTAAGTCAAGATAGTTTACTCTGTGCTCAAACTGTGCTCATAGCATTTGATAAAGCAGTCCTAAGTACCATTATTTCTCAAGTAAATGGCAAATTACGCATCTCGGTGTGCGTAATTGCGCGTCCCTTACTATTTTTATTTGAAAAGTTTTTTTTACTTGCAAATGATACATAATAGACCCAACAGGACGTAAACAGCCTAGTGCCGAGCAATGAATCGGATGCGCGCGGGTGTGATCAGTGCGCGCAGATGCGCGCTTGGTGTAGACCCGGCGCACATTTGTGTGCCAAGGCATTTGTTGTTTTGCGCACAGAGGATAAAGAGCACCGGGAAGTCTATCAGAAGAAAGAAAGAACGAACGAACAGAAATGGCACGCAAAGCGTCACTTTCCTTGCTGGAAGCAGTGGCGATGGTAACGGAGCCTGGCAGTGACGCCGAGTCCGATGTGGACACTTTTTATACAGATGAAGAGTTGGATTACCTGGAGGATCTGGACCCTTTTGAAGAGTAAGTAGCAAATATTTCATAATTATTTAGAGCAAACATCATGCAACACTTGTAGTAAACGGGCGTAAATACATAATAGTAGCATGCGTAATGCCTATTTATGTATTGTTTGGATACAGTTTTATTTGATGCGTGAGGGGTATAATCATTTAGGTGGGGGATGAGATTGTGAACTTCAGACAACTGTTTACCTGTGCTGCACTAGACGTATGACATGTATGTTGTTGTTTGTAATAACTAGCTACAAACTACATGTGTAAAGTGGATGAAGTGGTTTGGGAGGTGTGGATGTCCTAATTAGTGAGGTCATAATATCTTGACACCATTTGGGTGGGGGATGGGGTTGTGCATTGTGTTTGCCCCTGCTGCACTAGACTTAGACTTGTTGTAGTACATATGTAATACACAAGTTTTACACAAGCTAACATTTTTTCCTTTTCTTTTGTTTAGTGCTGAGTCAGAGGATGTTCCTCAGGCTCCTCCAGATTCCCCTGTGCCATTCACTTCAGGTGTCTCCCCAGCTTCATCAGTGTCTATAACCCCAGCCACCCGTCCAGAACCATCAACACCTTCAACACCTACGATCTCCTCTGAGAGCAGGAGGAGGGGCAGGGATGGAGGGCATGGAAGATCCAGATCTCCACTCCTCAGTACTTCATCTGGATCACCACACTTACTAACCACCACACCAGGAAGACCGCAGCAGGCAAGGATCATATGGGAGGCTGTCATGTGTGCACTGCTGACAAACACAGGGGAAGAGGCAGTGTACTGCATGGAAATGCAAGGCCTGTGATGTGGCACTATGCCTGGTGCCTGATAGGAACTGCTTCCATGATTGGCAATAGTGAAGGACTTGGACGAGTGCACTTTTTTTTTTGTTTTGAGGGCAAAAATGACATTTTTAGAATACCTACAAACTTGATATTTTGCACTTTTGTAGCTAAGACCCTAAACTAAGTATTTATTATGTCTAAAAAGTTGTTTATACATGTTTGCTGTGTGTTTTGAATAAAGGAGTGTGAATATTATTTTCTGTTTTTTTTTTTCCTTTGTATTTCTAGTTCTATAGCTTTTATTACAGCCATATGACACAACTACAGCATTCAGATTGTGAAAGAACAGGTTGTACTGAAAAAAGGATGTACAGCACTTCACTAGGGGATAAAAGTTAATAGCAAAATTAGGAAAAAAATCCAGGCGAGGACAAATGTACCAAAAATGCCCTTAGGTCTGGAAGGGTTAAAACATATCTGAACTCCTGACTGTAGCCCTAACCTTAAGTTGAACCTTACCCCTAACCTAATCCTAACCCCTAATCTTAACCGAACTGTACAATTTTTCTCAATTTCTGTATGTGCAGATTTTTTTTAAATCCAAGATGGCAGGGGGGCGTGGTCACAATATACTTTTTAGTTCTTAGTCCCATGATGCATCTGTGTACCAAATTTGGTTTGAGTACGTCAAAGTTTTTGTTGGGATGTCCCATTGGCAATTGTGTATGTCTACGAAAAAGTAAAATTTTATTGTTCCATACAATCTCCCTAGGGGGCGCTATTGCATCCATTTTAGATTTTATTATATAAATTTGTTCAGGGTCAGGGTGTCCACCAACGATTAAAGTTTGAGTGAAATCAGCCAAAGTTTGTGCAAATTATCAGGCGTCGAAGTTTGATGGTGAGCCCCAAAAACAAACCCAAAATTTGCCTTGTTGCCACGGCAACACTGTTTGACCTTTTAAAAAGCTTTAAAAGTCTATACTACTGGATGCCATGAGTGTCACTATTGAGTGGCACTGAGTGTTTGATAAGGGGAGAGCGCTTTGCGCTCTGTTTTTGCGGGCGCACTTGACATCGTGCACAAAGTGCGCGATGTCAAGTGCGCCCTACGTTTTGAGTGAGCAATAACAATTAGGCCGCTGTCGCGGCCCACGGGCAATGCCACCGTGCCATGTCAGCGGGCACCAGTCACTGACATGTGAGTGTGAGTGTGTGTTGCGCTCTGTTGCGTGTGCTGTGCACACGCCTTCCCGCAGTGCTTCGCACTGCTGAACAGTAACAATAGGCCCTACGCCACCCATGGCGCCCAGGCCTAATAATAATAATAATAATAATAATAATAATAATAATAAAACAAAGAAAGTTCAGACCATGTAGTGAACAGTGTGCAGGAATATAATATTACAACTATTAGAAAACTCATAAATCGTGTTAAAGCTACACTGCAGAACATTTCTGGGCCATTCTATGTGGTGTCTGCATATTATATAATCTGTTTCTGGGTGGGTTTGCTCCTAACACTCCAGTTTCCTCCATCAACCTAAAACATACACATTAGGTCAAATCCTCAAGTTAAGGAAGTTCTGACCAAGACTAGCTCAAGATCTGGAGATGTGTCCCCTCTCACTGCACTTGACAGGTTGCCCCAGCAGCACTGAAGGATGGGTCAAATGCAAAAGGCAAATAGACAACAATAAAGTAAACCTCAACCTAAAATAGAGTTAAGAATTAAATAGTGACATACAGTAATATAGCACGACTTTCAGGTGCAAATCAGCTTTCACACAAATTGTACTAATGAATCGATGGGCGTTTTTCATATGTGCTAAAGAGAAATCAAATGAGAGCTGCCGATCTGATCTGTGATTGTGCTTTCACTTTCACTTGTGTTTGGAGGAAATTAAACCACAGGGACTCCACTGTCAGGTCCAAACATGTCTGACAAACGCAGGTGTAGAGTCGTGGAGAGGAAGAACGTGTCAAAAGAAGCTGTTAAGAAGTGTTGAAAAGAGGGAGGGCTGTGAACATCTCCGCTGAAGAGGAGGCAACTGCGCCAAGATGCATTCAATTACACACGCTTTGTGACTCCCAAGATCTATTTGAACCATTAAAGATGCACTATGTACCTTTTTGAGTAGGGTCCACCATCTGCTTATCTCTATGGAAATATTCTTGCTTTTCCTGGAATTCTGCAAGGTGTTGCAGTAAACCTATCTAACTTGTATTCATTTAATTTAAAGTATCCAAAATATTGCACTTTGTTCAAGTATGTCAGGGTCTTGTTCACGAGTGAGGGGAGGATGGAGCCTGAGATTGACAGGCGGATCGGTGCAGCATTTGCAGTAATGCGGTCTCTGTATCGGGCTGTTGTGGTGAAGAGGGAGCTGAGCTGAAAGGTGAAGCTCTCGATTTACCAGTCAATCTTTGTTCCTCCACTCACCTATGGTCATGAGCTCTGGGTAATGACCGAAAGGACAAGATTGTGGTTA